CAACAAGTATCTTGAAGAAAACTTCGAGAATGAATTAAATCCTTGATGAATCACCATGAAAAAACTCTTGAAGAACTCCGGTAAGAAAAGAAATGGTAGTAAGGAAGTGAACGTTGAAAAATAACAAGATGAAAACCTTGTGATGATTTAGATGGAGCTTCCCGATGAAATAATTGAGAGAGCTTGGAACTCCGAAAATAAAAGATGAAGCATCTCAAACCGAGAATGTGATATGACAAACAACTCTAAAAAGAAAGATGAATCACTTGGATGAAACAAGAATAAGAATTATGTTATGCGTATCCTTCACCAATTTAAATTGATGACAATCAACATATTTGGCATACTACTTATTCCTCTTGAAAAGTATTGATGAGAGATATAGCGCAAACTTGAGAAGGTCTTGATGGATCCACCAGTGGGATTTGGAAACAACGAATGAATTGATACAATAACGTTGAAGAGAAATCTTGAATGAACCACCGTAAGAATTGAAAATGAACGTAGCAAAGGAACAATTCACAAGGAAGAATTAGAAAACGAATAAAGATACTTGACAGGATTTAGATACATGAGAACGAGTAGATCATGAGCTGACTAGAGAATACTTGAATGATGCACCGGAACAACTAGGGAATGAGAGCTGAATGTTGAGAACAAATAATCTTCTAAAATGATGGCCTTTAGATGATCAAGAAACAAAAACAACTCCTGAGATGCTCCGGATGGGTATGAAAATAATTATCATAATTGAAAACAATTATGAGGATGGCAACAAGCTAGAACCACGAATCTTCAAGAGAACGAAGCAAGATTTAGAGAAAATTCTCTTCTTCGGTCTTCACCGCTGAGAATGACGACGAGGAACACCACCAAAATTGTTGAGACACCCCGGGATGAAGAATAGAAAGGTTGAACCAACGACGAAAGGAATTTGAAAGCGATCTTGGAAAGGCATCTGACTGATGAAAATTCATTCTTATGTCAAACTTTGAAAAGATTTGAGAATAGCTCCGGAAAAATTAAAAGAGTCAGGTAAGATCCTGGGTAAAGACCTATGGGTTAGGGCCCACTCAACAGAGAACACCATTGGACGATTACTTGAAAGGGAGATTGCACCGGTTGATTTAAATGGCTTGAATGAGATAACAACCTCGAAATAGCTTGAACGGATTAAGAATGGAAACATGAATCTTTGGAGATATATTCAGCACTCCAGAACAAATTAATAGCGAGAAGTGAATGATTAAGAGGTGCATCGGCATGAGAAAGCATTTGAAACAAGGAAAGGAATATGATCGACACCGAAAGCTTGAATTGAATCCACAGGAGAAGAAAAAGAACGAAGAATGATGAACTTGAAACTCCTGACCATCTTTCTGAGAATCACCAGAAAAGAACATTGAAAGAAAAGAATGAAGAGACTTCAGATCCATAAGATGGATACTTGATTAAGAAATCCGAGTCCTTGAAGAAAAAGGGTGGGAGGGCGGGAAAACAAATGCAACTTGGGGACGAATGAAACAGACAATCCTCAGGCTTCTCAACGGCGCCCGTATGGAATGATCTTGAAGAGAAGTGCACCAATTGAAAAGGATTGACATGACAATCTCGATGATCAAGAAGGATTAGTATTCACATAGAAGTATGCGTACACCGCTTAGAAAAGGTATGGAATCAACACTTGACACTGAAGAAACTCGAATACACAACTCAAAGCAAAACAAAGGATTGGCTTGGGAAATAAGCCGGAAACAAACATATAATTGAGATTTCGCCCAAAGTGTTCGCGATGAGGCCCCACGGGCACGACATACAACGGACGTCACGAATGACAAACAAGATGTCCCCGAATAGGCATAGCCAAGGATTCTTTAAGACGCCTCGCGACCATTGTAAATAGATTGTGTAAAATGAACCACTAGACGTTGGACCCCAATCTCAAATCATACATCTGTCGAAAAGAAATCCTAGGTAACTACTTGAATTCACACCTATTAACTCCCGAAATTCTCTGCTTATGCAATCTGGTGTTGGGGATACATGGAGGCACAAATATCTCACACAACTAATAAACCCTACACTCCAACAGTATCCAACCGTCAACACATAACCAAGAAAACCTCAGAAATCGTGTACCTCAGACCTTCAAAAACATCTGATATACTAGATGTGGCAATACATCTGATCGCTCTCCCCAGTACTGGGTGTCGTCAAACTACTCTCACCACAAAGAGTATAGAAGCGTTTTCGATGTCGGCGTCCTCTGGTATTCGAAACTGAGACGATTAGCACTGTGACGAAAACACCTTGGAGCTCAACTCCTCGGGACACTGCCACAACCCCTAAATGTCAGGAGGCACCAAGATAGAAGTCCCATCACAATGATATCGGACCAATTCCACAATGCCCGCGTGATCCTAAATAAAATTTTGAGTGAAAAAGAGGAGAGTGAAGTCAAAATATCTACGTCAGGAGTCCTCACCAGAGTGATGAAGGGGCTGAGGAGTAAAAAGAATTCCTACTCTCCAATGTATGGCTAGACTCAAAATAGTTTTTTCTAGCCTCAACAATGGCAGCGGTTCGATCAATTAAGGGGCCTCCTAAGGTTGGTATGGATCTGATACCAACTTGTAGCGCCCATGATGCGATTCTATCCCAATCACGTGATGAATTCATGATTGGGGCACAACCGCATTTTGAGCGCATAGCAAGGTGTATATCATTACAACATACCATGTATTGAATAGATGAGAATACAAGATAAAGGCTTACACTCGCCACAAGATACAACATGAATACAACAATTCGTCAATACATAGCAATCATCATACAGAAGAGCAGGATCCGACTACGGATGAAATCAAACAAAAAATAAGAAGGACATCCACCCTGCTAATCCCAGGCTCCCCAGCCCGAAACCTAATCCCTTGACCGAAGAAGAATAAGAACTCCAAAAGCAATCAAGCATCGCTCTCACGTCAGATCATCGCATTAACTGTACCTACAACTGTTGTTGTAGTAATCTGTGGGCCATGAGGACTCAGCAATCCCATTACCACGGGTATCAAGACTAGCAAAGCTTAATGGGTATGGAATGGATAAGTGGTGAGGTAGCACCAAGCAACTAAGCATTGTATGGTGGCTAACTTACGAGTACAAGATTAAGATGAGAAACTATGCAACGGTCGCAAACTAGTAATGATCAAGAAGTGATCCTGAACTACTTACGGTCAAACATAACCCAACCATGTTCTCTTCCCTAACTTCGTCGAAAAGAGACGATCACGTTTACACACGTGTTTGATGTATTTTTAATTCGGATCTAGTGTCAAGTTTTCTACAACCGGATATTAAAAACTCCCATTTTCCACATAACCACGTGCACGGCTCTCGAAATTTTAAACCCTGCAGGGGTGTCCCAACTTAGCCCATCACAAGCTCTAATAATCAACGGAGGAAAACCCTCCTCCCGAATCAATCTGATCAAACTCGGAATCCTGGTTCACAAGACATTTCGATAATGGTAAAACAAGTCCAGCAAGTCCTCCCGGCGTGCCGACACCCTGATAGTAGTCGCACGTATCTTGTCTTAGTCCACGACCGGATGGGACATCCTACGAGTAAAACCAGATCCCCGAGTTGCCCTGTGGTGGCCCCACAGTCTACCCGTTTGGGACCAACACCATCAGCACTGCACCCCTGTATTATGTTAAAAGAATCCTCGGGGACGCGACCCCCTATGCCAATTAATTATCAGGTTTATTATGTTGGGCAAATGTTAAAACCAACGTTGGGCCTTGTTGGAAGAGTTTTATTTACAGCGAACTGTCAAGGGGGCCCCACAAACCCCAACCGTGTTAGGAACGCAAAATCAAGGAACATAACACCGATATGACGGAAACTGGGGCGGGAAGAGTGGAACAAAACACCAGGTAAAAGGCCAAGCCTTCCACCCTTTACCAAGTATATATGTGCATTAATTAAATAAGATATATTGTGAGATCCCAAAATATCCATGTCCCAACATGGAACAACCTGCACTCACCTGCAACTAGCAACGCTATAAGAGGGGTTGAGCAAAGCGGTAACATAGCCAAACAACGGTTTGCTAGGGTGGTGGAAAAGCTTAGAGGCTATTTCATGGCATATTGGGAGGTTTGATAAACAAGTGGTGGGTAGCGCGACATAGCGATAGCATCGAGACGACTAGCATAGCAAATATAGTAGTGAGATCCAAGGTGACGCTCATCTTGCCTGAAATCCCGGTAGGAAGAAGACCGAGTCCATGAAGAACACGAACCGGCGTAGTAGAACGAATCCTCACAATCGCAACATAACCAAAACTATTGAGAAGAAGCACCACCGAAAAGAAGGGAACAACATGGTAAACAACCAAGCATAATCATGGCATGATGCACAATCAAGTATGATGCATGTACGGTTTAATGAAACATGGCATGGCAAGGCAAAGTGCAACAAACAATACTACAAGTTAAGTGGAGCTCAATATGCAACAAGTTGCATATTGAAGAAACACCACATGCAAGTATTTAGTTCACTCTATTTTATGTACCCAACAATATTAAATGTTGTTAAACATGGCAAGAGGTGAAGCATAGGTAAACTAACTATTTAGGCAAATTTAAATGAGGCCGGTAATAACAAACAACAATTCTGGAAAATCCCCATATCCATATTTAGCAATTGATGCAAACAACAATTTCAAACATTTTAAATGTTGTTATCATGATGCGGATGACATATGCAAGTTATATGAAATTTTCAAGAAAATGTTGACATGAGCATGTTATGAAGCATTTGCTCAACATGGCGAAACGAAAGGGGTGCCACGGCAACGACAACGGAAATGGTGCCACGGCAACATTCCGATGATCCGACAACTCATGAAGATGTCGGTGCAAGCGAAAGTGTGGATCTACAAAACATGCAAAAGATGGTGGGGTGATGCTGGTTACCGGGTTCCCACGGGTCGACGCATGGCATACGATGAGGACCGAGCAATGACAACTCGGACACGGTACAAACACGGGCATCTCATACAACACACATGCATTTGTTCACGTGCGTCGTCTCGGGGTTATACCTTCGAAACATGCATTCGGGACAGAACGAGTTCGATGTAGTGTAGATGGAAGTAGACGTTCTCAGGATGGTCGTAGTGGAAGTAGTGGTACACGGCGACGGTAGTGGAAGTAGTGGTTCATGTTTCATAGATGTTCGTGGTCACGGCGAGGAACTTGATGTCCACGGAGTCATTGAGGGTCGATGGTAGTGGTACACACGTTGTCGGGGTACTTGTCGGTCCGGTCTTGGCGACGGTAGGTGTACACTTGTCGACGAGGTACTTGTGATCTTGACAACGGTAAACAAACTTGATGCTTGTGGTACACGAGTCTTTAGGCGGCAGTAGTCGTACGACATAGATGAACTTGATGGGTCCTCGATGTCCTGGTACTTGGTGTCCACTCGGCCTTTACGGTGATGAAACAAAACGCGATGGTTGTGGTACTTGGCACCCAGGGGTTTCGCGGGTTATTACTGTACTTGGCGTTTGGTGCGGTACTTGGTTGTGCTCATGACCAAGCTCATGGGCGGACGCTACATGCCCAAGTGCGGGTGCATGAAGCAAATGAGTGGGACGACGTGCGTTGGGAACGCGGTCAACGACGTAGTTGGCTCGGGTGGGTGCTCATCAACAGGCAGCGAAGCGAGCTGCTACTCGATGAAGGCGGCGGTGCGAACGTACGCGAAGCTCCGCGAGGACGGCCGAGGTTGGGAGCCTAGAAGGACTAACAAAGAAGGTCCAATGGGGTGGTGGGGTCCCAAATCCAGGCGCGATGGAGGTGGAGGAGGCAGGAGTGCGTTGGGGTGGCCTGAAGGTCGAGGTCGCCAGTGGGTTCGCAGGATGTAGCACGGGCATGACATCATAAGAGAGGCCGCTGGCGCCATGGCTGCTGAACGGGGCGTTGGCTCTCCTGGATGAGGAGGAGGCCGTGGAGGAGATCAGGGGCTTAGGTGAGGCAGAGGGGAACCAGGGGTCACCGGCGGAGGTAGGGCCGACGGGAGTAGCAGCTCGGATGGCGAGGCGCGACCATGGAGATCGGGCGCGACGCGCGGGAGGAGCCTGGAGGGCTGCGGGAGAGGCGGAGCTGGAGAGAAAAGAAAGATGGGAGGAAGGGAGAGGGCATGGATCGGGCGTGAGGAGCTCCTCTCCCTTAGCTCAATTCGTGCGGTGTGTGTGGCGAAGCGAGGTGGGGAACGAGGAGGACGGGGATCGATCAGGAGAGAGCTAGGGTTAGATAGGCACCAAAGTTGGGCCTAGGTGAAGATGCGCCATCGAGGTTGGGCTGCAGCAAGATGGGCTTCTCCCTCTAATCTCCCACTTCTCTTTTATTTACCAAAAACAGTAAACAGCAAAGAAAGAAAATGAGAGAAAGAAAGGGTTGGAGAAAGAATTTGGGCATATGGGGGTTATTTTCTTGGACTCACAAAATATGCTTGGTGAAAGAAAGTAGAAGTGTGCATGCGTGTGAGGTTAGATTTCGAACTCATTTGAATTTAATTCAAATGGTTTTGCATAGGAAGTAGGTGCTAGGGAGGTCCAATTGTTTTGAGAATTTAGGAGGAGCCTCAATAAATGGAGAAAGAATAACAGAGAAAGTTTGGAGAATGAACTTGAAGCAAAAGGCATGAGAATTAAATTGCAAGTGGGTTGTGGTTAATTCCAACCTAATGGAATATTTATTATAGCTCCCTAAATATCAAGATGATATGTTATAAAGAGAAATCACCATGTGAATTCCCTCGGTATAAATGGATCAAAGATCCATGCAATTTATTTGAGTTTTTAAAATGGTTGCAAATAAATAATGGCATGATGACATGATGCAACGCAACAAACAAACTATTCACACTGCGAACTGCAAAATACATGGAAGGCATCTGGAGCGTCAGTCTCGGGCTGTCACACAACTAGTATAATTTAATGTGACACACTTCAATCTACCTAGAACTATATATTGCCATTGAATTGGAAGCGGTACGGGTTCAGGGCGCTGCCCTACACCCCTACTAAGTTGTAAATGAGGAAATTTCTCCATGTCCTCTCCTGGGCACAACCTTTATTTGTATTGCATTTATAGTTAGGTCCTGGTACAATACTACTACAACAATACTCGTGAAAATATGAGGTGAACATGATGATGGTAGAGAGGACGATTCACATCTTTACAAGTTGCAAGCACTACCAAAAAATACACTTTTGTGATGATACGTGTTTGCCACAGTAGGTCACGTTTTCTGTCATGCATGTACATCCATGACGATTTTATGACAGAATCAAGATAGTCATACCTATGTTGTCATAGAAGTGTTCCATGACATTACCAAAATTATCATCACGGAAGTGTCCACTTCCATCACGATAAATCGCGCGTCATATAAGTGCTTTCGTCTAGGGTAAACGAGACGTGGCATCCATTGTAATGGGTCGCCGTTAAGCTATCAGGTTCCGGTTTGGATCCGATAACTTATTAATAGCCCCAACGATGGGGATTTTCCACATGCAAGATACTCATTCACCGGATAATGCACGTGTCAGCTCATCATTGGGACATATGTCATCCCTACAATGGACGGAAGATGCCTATGATATGTCGACATGTGGCACAGCCCAACAGTGGCCCATTTAAGGTAAAAAGGCCATCCCAGCTAAAGGCCCACCATATTTTTTCAGTCACTAGTGGGATGGCCCGTTAACAGCCTGCCATCTTTTGGGTCAAATTGAGGCCCATATCAGGTCAGGCCCGTTCATAGGTTTTCGTGTTTTGGGCCAAATTACGGCCCATCTTAGATCAGGCCCGTTAACAGGACACTGTTCTTTTGGGCCCATTCTAAGCTGGGTTTCTATTTCAGCCTCATAAATGCCTATTGCTACCTCTTGAGCACTGCGTTGGTTTTCCCTTGAAGTGGAAAGGGTGATGCAGCAAAGTAGCGTAAGTATTTCCCTCAGTTTTAGAGAACCAAGGTATCAATCCAGTAGGAGGTCACACGCAAGTCCCTCGTACCTACACAAACAAATAAGAACCTCGCAACCAACACGATAAAGGGGTTGTCAATCCCTTCATGGTCACTTATGAGAGTGAGATCTGATAGAGATAATAATGATAAGATAAATATTTTTGGTATTTCTATGATATAGATTGAAAGTAAAGATTGCAAAGTAAAAATAGATTGGAAATTTATATGATGGAAAATAGACCATGGGGCCATAGGTTTCACTTGTGGCTTCTCTCAAGATAGCATAAGTATTACGGTGGGTGAACGAATTACTGTCGAGCAATTGATAGAAAAGTGAATAATTATGAGAATATCTAGGCATGATCATGTATATAGGCATCACGTCTGCGACAAGTAGACCGACTCCTGCATGCATCTACTACTATTACTCCACACATCGACCGCTATCCAGCATGCATCTAGAGTATTAAGTTCATAAGAACAGAGTAATGCCTTAGGTAAGATGACATGATGTAGAGGGATAAACTCAAGCAATATGATATAAACCCCATCTTTTTATCCTCAATGGCAATAATACAATACGTGTCGTTTCCCTTTCTGTCACTGGGATCGAGCACCGCAAGATTGAACACAAAGCTAAGCACTTCTCCCATTGCAAAAAAGATCAATCTAGTAGGCCAAACCAAACTGATAATTCGAAGAGACCTGTAAAGATAACCAATCATGCATAAACATTTCAGAGAAGAATCAAATATTGTTCATAGATAGACTTGATCATAAACCCACAATTCATCGTATCTCGACAAACACACCGCAAAAAGAGTTACATCGAATAGATCTCCAAGAAGATCGAGGAGAACTTTGTATTGAGATTCAAAGAGAGAGAAGAAGCCATCTAGCTAATAACTATGGACCCGAAGGTCTGAAGTAAACTACTCACACATCATCGGAGGGGCCATGGAGTTGATGTAGAGGCCCTCCGTGATCAATGCCCCCTCCGATGGAGCTCCGGAAAAGGCCCCAAGATGGGATCTCTTGGGTACAGAAGGTTGCGGCGGTGGAAATAGGGTTTCATGGTGCTCGTGGATGTTTTTGGGGTATGTGAACATATATAGGCGGAAGAACTAGGTCGGTTGAGCCACGAGGGGCCCACGAGAGGGAGGGTGCGCCCCCTGCCTTGTGGACTCCTCGTCCATTTCTTGACGTCCACTCCAAGTCCTCTGGATCACGTTTGTTCCAAAAATCGCGCCCCCGAAGGTTTCATTCCGTTTGGACTACGTTTGATATTCCTTCTTTGCGAAACACTGAAATAGGCAAAAAAACAGCAATTTGCACTGGGCCTCGGGTTAATAGGTTTGTCCCAAAAATAATATAAAAGTGCAAAATAAAGCCCATTAACATCCAAAACAGATAATATAATAGCATGGAACAATAAAAAATTATAGATATGTTGGAGATGTATCAAGCATCCCCAAGCTTAATTCATGCTCGTCCTTGAGTAGGTAAATGATAAAAACAAATTTTTTGATGTGGAATGCTTTCTAGCATGTTCTTCAACGTATTTTTATCTATTGTGGTATGAATGTTCAGGTCCAAAAGATTCAAGATAAAAGTTTATTGTTGACATAAAAATAGTAATACTCCAAGTATGCTAATCAAGCAATTTGTCTTATCAAAATACCATAGCCAAAGAAAACTTATCCCTACAAAATCATATAGTTTGGCCATGCTTCATTTTCGTCACACAAAATGCTCCCATCATGCACAACCCCGATGACAAGCCAAGCAATTGTTTCATACTTAGCCTTTTCAAACTCTTTCAACTTTTAAGCAATATATGAGCGTGAGCCATGGACATAGCACTATGGGTGGAATAGAATATGATGATTGAGGTTGTGTGAGAAGACAAAAAGGGAGAAAGGCTCACATTGACAGGGCTAATCAATGGGCTATGGAGATGCCCACCGACTGATATCAATGCAAGGAGTAGGGATTGCCATGCAACAGATGCACTAGAGCTATAAATATATGAAAGCTCATCAGAGAAACTAAGTGGCTGTGCATCCAACTTGCCTGCTCATGAAGACCTAGGGCATTTGAGGAACCCATCATTGGAATATACAAGCCAAGTTCTATAATGAAAAATTCCCACTAGTATATGAAAGTGACAAAATAAGAGACTCTCTATTATGAAGATCATGGTGCTACTTTGAAGCACAAGTGTGGAAGAAGGATAGTAACATTGTCCCTTCTCTCTTTTTCTCTCCTTTTTTGTTTGGGCCTTTTTTATGGCCTCATTTTTTTTCGTCCGGAGTCTCATCCCGACTTGTGGGGTAATCATAGTCTCCATCATCCTTTCCTCACTTGGGACAATGCCCTAATGATGATCATCACACTTTTATTTACTTACAACTCAAAAATTACAACTCGATACTTAGAACAAAATATGACTCTATGTGAATGCCTTCGGCGGTGTACCGGGATTGCGATGAATCAAGAGTGACATGTATGAAAAATTGAGCATGGTGGCTTTGCCACAAATACGATGTCAACTACATGATCATGCAAAGCAATATGACAATGATGATGCGTGTCATAATAAATGGAGCGGTGGAAAGTTGCATGGCAATATAGCTCAGAATGGCTATGGAAATGCCATAATAGGTAGGTATGGTGGCTGTTTTGAGGAATATATAAGGATGCTTATGTGTGATAGAGCGTATCATATCACGGGGTTTGGATGCACCGGCGAAGTTTGCACCAACTCTCAAGGTGAGAAAGGGCAATGCACGGTACCAAAGAGGTTAGCAACGATGTAAGGGTGAGAGTGAGTATAATCCATGGACTCAACATTAGTCATAAATAACACACATACTTAATGCAAAAATCTAC